CAGCTACTGTGACTAAGCGCTAAGAAGCACACCAGGTAATTGAACAGATTTCAGATTAACAGAGCATCATGCAGATTAGCAGTTGTTGAGTCTTTCCAAATAATCACCCTAGTCTGAACTGTCGGGGAATAGGGACAGAATTGCTGTGGGCATGTATAATATAGAGAGAGCTGTAGAATTCTGGAAAAAGAAAAACCTACCTACTCTCATCTCCAAGCAGCCTTGGTTCACTAGCAGCTGCTCTGTAAGGGGCATAAACCTCCAAAGGCTTTGAATCTACCCCTTAACTAATTATCTGTAAGTAGGCATTACCTTAAGTTCTCTAATTATGTAAGAAAGTATGCTTCAGTAATGAATGGTCACAGGAAAAGTTATGTAAGCAGTCACAAGACTGAGGTGGGGCTGAAAGGCTTCATGTTTATGCATTGTTTGGATTTTAAAAAAAAAATCTATACAATGAAAGGGGATTTACATCTGAATCCTTATATTTACTAGATCTTCCAGTACACTGTGTGCTACGAATTCAGTTTGTAACCTGCTACCCTTCAGCATTTTGCCCCACATGCTCTTGTACTCTGTATGCACAATTTGATACCAGTTTGTTAAATCAACATAAAGTGGCAGAGTCTGAATGCAAGGCAAATGTTTGTCAAATGGTACTCAGTCATGTGGAAAGGACCTGGATTATTTCTTCCCTCTTTTCTACTGCCTAAGCCAACCCAGAGAGTGGTTGTTAAATCATTGATAAAGAAATCTTGCCAGTCATTCTTACATTAGTCATTTAGATACAAGTGGGGAAATTTATGTAAAGTTTTGGCTTGTAAATGGGTGCTAAATGAGAACAAATGCCACAGCCATTGTTAACCTTACTTCCTAGATATGACAAAGTTTTCCCTTTTTCAAACAAGTGGAGCCTTGGTGCTTTTTCACACCTCTAGTCCTCCTTTCTTTCGCATTTTTGTTCAATACCTAGGCTACGCCTCACAAGGGGGACATGATCACTTTACCTGGAAAAATGAAGGTAAAGGTTAAATTCTCTCTCTATGGATTCACCTATCTTTGAGCCATGTTACAGCCTATCAGAGCTAGTACAAAAGTTAAAAGGAAATGTCTCCTCAAGCAGAGCAGAAATGCAGTAAAAACAACACTATTCTTAGATCACATTTCTTGGTTTTAAAATACACAGTGGTGTGTTGTAGCTTTGTCAGTCCTAGGACAGTAGACAGACAAGCTAGGTGAGACAACATCTTCTGCTGGATCAACTTCTGTTGGTGAGAGTGACAAGCTTTTGAGTTTCCACAGAGCTCTTCTTCAGGGCTAGGAAACTAACTGAGTGTCCCAGGTAAATACAAGGTGGAACAGATTTAGCAGTGACACTCTGAGCTAGGTTCCCAGACATGAAGAAGAGCTCTGTGTAAGCTCAAAAGCTTGTCTCTCTCTCCAACAAAAGTTGATCCAATAAAAAAATATTACCTCACCCACCCAAATGCATTTTAAAAACCAATTTTAATTGTCTCGTTTATTTCACCTGCTGCCTTGCTGTACCATAATATGCAGCAACTGCTGGAAATTTAAACTGATAATTCAAGTAGAGCTGTCCAAGAGTGGGTTTGCAGAAGACAGGTTCTCTCACTCCTCCTCACTTATCCTGTAGCTGAACAGCAGCTCTCCAGCTGAGGAGTTGAGTGCTCCTTGTTGCAAAGAGGTTACAATACAGGTGGAGAGCAGCTGTCTGCTTGGTCCCTGAGTGCTCCAGTCACAGCTTTGCAGGTGTGTGGCAGAATCACACTAAGCATTTTTGTCCTTCGGGTTTATTGAACTCCCTATCCCAAATCACATTATTTATGTACCAAACACATTTGGTTGTTTTGGTATGTGACTAGCTTTATTTCAAAGCAAGTGGGGCAAGTATGTAATGGGCTTGGTTCATTTCGACTTCTAAAAAGGGCCTGATCATCTACAATATCCACTGAATTTACCCTTTCAGGATCTGACCTTAAGCACACCTGAGGCACAACCCACTAGCCAGTTACTGTGTAACATGGTGTATTAGCCTAAAACTGGATTATGATCTAGCTAACGCATTTTAGGCAGCTTAGGGAAGTTCTGAATAGCGGAAACTCCACCTGACTCCAATGGTGAGTGGCAACCCCTCAGCACCTGGTCCTTAATGCCCATTTTATAACAGAAGTACAAATATTTTAACCATTTCATGCAAGTATCTTACTGAGATTGTAAGCTCTTTGGGGACAGGGACCATCTTTTTGTTCTGTGTTTATACAGTGCCTAACAGATTGGGGTCCTAGCATAGTTAGGTGCCAATGCAATACAAATAACCAGCGGAATTAAATGGAATTATGTAAGCAACTGTAGTGCATGCCTGATCATTAGCCACCTGAAAGTTACTTTTCATAGTTTAATATATTATACATTAACATTTAAGAGATTTACGTAAAATAAAAATACATTTTATTCTTTAACTTTCATAATTAAGACATTACATCTTATTCCTGAGCAACATCAATATACAAGTTTGACCAGAAAACATCAACAAACTTAAAAAAAAGTTTACAAGCAAATTCTTTAAAAATTCTGTAGTTATTTTACAAAAGCCATGTAAATGAATATTGACCTCTGAAACACAAATCATGCTGAACAGTCCAAAATATGGAACTACAGGGGAAGAAAGGTAAGGAAATTAATTTAAAAAAGGGGGGGGGGGGTGGGATCTAAAGAATGCAATCTATAAACTACTAAGGAAAGTTTGCTGAAATTATGTCTAAAGTTATTTCATATCTTAATATGATGAAGTAAAACCAATCAGATTGGCATTTTTCATTTTAAAGTGCACATATTACATTTTATTCACTTTATTTGTGTTTTATTATCTAAACGGAAAATTTCAAATTCAGGATTTGCTTGTTTGTAAATGAATCTAGGTGGTACAAGAAGCAAGTAAAGAATCAGTATATTTATTTGCTTTTAAGTGGGATGACAGCCTGGTGCAAAACCATCAGAAAATTACAGAAATATTTAGTTCCAGTTCTAGATAAAGTCACTTCCTTACCTGTAAGTGTATGAATTATATAATGCAATGTGCATAAGCCTATGCACATAAATAGCCATTTCGGGATCAGTGGGGAAAAAGTTTGCTTTTTGTGGCTGTAAATATTGCATCGAGGAAAAACACTTATGCCACCATAGTGGAACAGAGATATTTACATGGTAAACAATTGCAATAGTTGGTCTTCATTACAACTATATAAAAAGCAAGACAGACAGGGGGCGTAAGTTTTCCAAAGTATATAGACAATATTCTCAGCAAGAAGCTGTCTTCAAACAAAAAGGTGTCATACATAACAGTACTTTGAGTAGCAACAATTTGTCACTGATTACTGGGAACCTGAAAAAGGCACTCAACATATGAACGTGTTTTTAACAATAAGAATAGACGGGCGTAAAACCTGGCTTAGAAGGCTGTAGAAGTCACCATTATTGAACGATGCGGTGGGAAACACAACATAACATGAATGATAACTGCAAACATTTTTACTACTAGTTTATTAGAGCAGAGGTTACAAACATGAATGATATGCTATGTAATGAAGGGAGCTACATCACATTTAGTATCTTGACATGTAATAAATAAAGCATACTAAAATGAAACCTGAAACAGTAAGTATGTTGGTCTAAATTCAGACCAGAATCAGTTCCATTTCCATCTACATCGTCATGAGGGACTTTGTCTAAGAGCAGCTGTGGCTATCTTCTAAATAGAGAGAACTGAATAAATGTAGATATTAGTCCAAGCTTCTAGTCTGCATTTTCACATTATGTCTCCATGCAGCAGAGATTTATAAAAGTTAGCAACATTTTGAAAATGAAGTCTTCTCTGGGAATTATCTGTAAGCTACCTTGAACTAAGTAGCTGTCTCAGTGTTTGTGCCTCCAGAAAGGCCCGTCTTAGAAATCCTGCAAGCAATTTTCACCCTGTATTGAAGGTAACCTTTCATGCTGATGGTCAACATGCTGAAATAATCCCCTTTCATTGTTCAGCATTTAGAGCTTTGTTTGGAATATCCTCACTCACCATCTCAGGAATGCTAAATCTAGTGGCAGTGTAATGATTTAGATCAGCCCAAGAAAATGTCAAGTTTTCTGGCTCATTTCTAGAATTTTAACTGAATGCTGAGGAACTTTCCCAGTGTAGCTGCTCGGAGAAGGTTAACATGTACTAGGGTGTGTTTTCTCTAATTTAGAAACTCACTGCAAGTTTTCACCTTTTTTCTTCTTCTATTTTTTTCTGACAACTGAATTGCAAGGTTGCCATACCCCACCCTCTTGCCATCCCATCATATTAACAATATGACTGAGGAGCCACTCTGAATATATGGTTACTTAAAGATTTATCCCATCTATGTATAAGTGGTTTTGTGCACAATCAATTCAACTGTATAATAATTACTAGATACCAGAATGCAAATGTTTTATGGCTCCCCTGGACTTAGCTGGGTGACCACTCAGAGGTTTCAACCCATTAAGCTTCAAAACTCTCAGCAATTGGTTCACAATAGCTTGTGTCATGCACTTGGGTAACTTTTTGGTCTTTTTTCATATCAATGCCAAATCCATACAGATTCTATTTTTGTAGCTTGTACTAACTAGATTGTTTCACTGTCCTACCACTCCAGCATGCATTAAACAAAACAGACTATTTTAGACTGCCTATAATCACTTAAAGCAGTGGTTCCCAAACTTGTTCCGCCGGTTGGGCAGGGAAAGCTCCTGGCAGTCCGGGCCGGTTTGTGTATCTGCTGCGTCCGCAGGTTCGGCTGGCCGCGGTTCGCTGCTCCGGACCAATGGGAGCTGCTGGAAGCAGCGGCTCGGACCGCACCGCTTCCAGCAGCTCCCATTGGCCCGGAGCAGCGAACCGTGGCCACTGGGAGCCACAATCGGCCGAACCTGTGGACGTGGCAGGTACACAAACCGGCCTGGACCGCCAGGGGCTTTCCCTGCACAAGCGGCGGAACAAGTTTGGGAACCACTGCACTAAAGACCTGACCTTACAGTTCACTTCTTAGAGCCATATAAAAGGCCTTTTTTGCAGGGGGGGGGGGACTTTTGTGAGCAGCTTCAAGACCCCATTGCCATTAGCTAGCAACTATTCAGCATTCTCTTTTGGGTTCTGCTCCACAGACAGCATCAGAGCATGGATTTGTCTAAATTAACTCAACAGGACATCCTCCAACATCTGCATCCATCTCTTTCCTCAGTGTTAATTTCCTCTCATCTCTTGTAGATAAGGAGAAAAAACAAGTTATTTGAAGGAGATTTTCCCAGAAAAAGATGCTGGAGTGATGCAGCCATGTAGCTAAAGCATAATAGACTGAATCAAGATTCATAGGGGAAAGCCAAAAGGGAGAATTATTTCATTCCTGTTGGGAGATCAGAAGGCCAAATGTATAGTGCCTCAGTTCAAACAGTATGTTCATCCCCATCTGTGCTGTACACTGTGTTCTTTCTCAGTTAATTTTTCCACAGTAATGTGTCTCTAGAACTGTAGTTTTAGCCACCACATTATTTTACTGATCTTCAGAATTGCACATATTCTCCTTCCAAAATGTGATGAGCTGGTGAGTGTGCACTACTTATCCCCAATAAATCTTAACAAGCATTACAGGATAGGCATAGATTTGCTATTGTGCATGTATTCGAGATAGATACATTGCCATCCAGTTAGGTGGTCAAAGATTCTACTTTTCAGCTTTTACATCGTTCTTTGCAAATCTTTCACTGCCATGAGAAGACTGCAACTCACCTAGCTCAACAGGTGGAAACTTGATGGCAGTGATTGGGACAGCCCCAGAAGGCAGTGGGGAGCAGATGCTGGAGGAATGCAGGATGACCCCTCCTCCAGAGGCTCTCATCCATTGGCCAACCAGAGAAGGAGGGGAGCTGATTGGTCCCTCGCTCTCCCCTTTTATTAATTGAAACCTTAGCCCAGGTCCTTGGGAGCCTCTTCTTGCTCCACTTCAGCGGCAGGATTTCTTAGGTTCCCAGCTCCAGGATAAATAAGAATGACGGTGGCTTCTGCCACCAGGAGAAGCAGCACCCAGACAAAGGTGGTATCTCCAGGCCGTTTCTAACCTGGCTGCGTAGATGCATAAAGAGCAGGAGCCCTGCGCAGGGGTGTAGCTACAGCATACTCTCACAGCCACCCAAATGCAAACAGGCATCCTGCAGGGACCAGGCGTGGTGCTGTGGTCCAGTCTCCCACCCCAAAGAGTGCTGCTGCACTAAACGACTGTCAAGCCCTTTAGGTGTCAGAGGAATCAGCGTCTCCTCCTTCTAAACTACTTTCAACCGTTAGGTGAGCTTGACTGCAAGAGTGATTGTGTCAGTAACCATAATTCTGCACAGAATCCTTAAACCTGTCAAATTGAGGAGTGTCGTCTTGGTTCTATTTCACTTCCCCCACCTCACCGGCCCTTTGGCGAGATCTCTGAAGCAGAGAGGCATCAGCATGGATGGCATCTTTTGATGCTGCTGCCATCACATGAAGGGTTTTGAATTTCATCTTATGGTGGAACATTTTGCTACATTTTCTCTGTATCTTTTTTAGAGATTCCAACTGTCTCCAACTCTCCATTTCAGAGAAGCCATGTTCATCAGGTAAAATGTCAGGGGAGGGCTTTTTTCTCTTTTTCTTCTTTTTGGGGGTATTTATCGCCTCTTCATTGGATTTCCACTCACTTTTTCGCCCTTCGTGACTCAATTTACTACTGCACCTCTTGTATGATTTTTTAAGCTTATGTCTACACTGCTTTGTCAAGCCACCAGGGGCAGAATTTGAACAGAAGCTACATTTGCTGGATTCATTTTCTGGATAATTTTGACCTACGTTTTTAACACAGACAAGGAATTTTCTCTCCATCTCTCTTGGGAGGGACCACGCTTTATTGTCATCACTGTAAACATCTTTATATCTTCTTTCTGTTCTCTTGGCCTCACTAAAATACTCAGAATCACTACTGATCTCTTCCATTAAATCCCTGAATTTGTATGCAGAGCCTGAGGGTGTGTATGGTGGGGCAACTTCTCTTCTGTTATTGTCGTCTTTGGATTTTTTATCGTGACTAGTATTAGTGCGTCCAAAAGAAGAATTATTAAATTCAGCATATGGTAAATTAGCAATATCAAGTGAGTCATTCCACTGTACTTGGAACTTTGTTGTAAACCCTCCAGCATAGGCGTTGTTTTTTGACACACTCTCTGTAGGCTCAGATTTCCGAATCGTGATCTCCCATCTATAATTATCATCCCCGCTACAATTTCCCTTGTCGGGGTTTTGTACAAAACTCACTTCTGTAAAGCGTTGCCCATATTTGTTCTTCAAGTTGATCTGAAAGCCATTCCCATTATCAGACACTATCCTCTGCCACCAAGAATTGCTAACGGTGCTTTCTGGCTCTAGGCAGACACGTGCGTAGCTTGGAGTTTGATAATAGTTTAATAAATAATGTATAAACTCGTCAGTTTCATAAATCTTTTGCTTTTTGCAGTACCCTGTACCAGACACTTTTCCAGAGTGTACTGTCTTCAAAGGAGGACAGTCTTCTCTCTCAAGGGATTCTATAACCTTGCAGTCTTGAGTAACTGTAATCTGTAAAGACCCACAGCCAGGGGAGCTGTACTCATCCCTGCCAGTTAATTTACCAGTGCTTGCTGCTGCAGTTGCATCATTTAAGATCGTTCTCACAAGATGACAAGGTGAGGCAGGTAGACTACTTGGCACCTCTTCCTCACTAAAAGAGGTATTACCCGTTTGGAAGAACTGACTGCTAAATTTTTTCTTATCCTTCAGTTCTTTGTGTAGAAGATAACGGGATTCTCTCTGCTCTGTCTGTGCATTTTGGAACTCCGTCTCAGGAAAGCAATCCTTTCTTATCTCTTCAGGGTACAGCAAGGACTCCACTTTTTGGCTGGTCAACTGTGCAAAATCCTTCAAATAAAATCAGAGAAAATTACAATGTGAATGTAACAGACAAAATTTGTACAGAGAAACTATACCGAACTAAATTGTGAACTAACATACAGGCAATGCAACTTTGCTCAAGTCAGGACAGCTCTCCAGGTATAAATGAGGGCAGAATTTGACCTACTGTATCTAATTCAGGCCATGATCATACAAGGTTCTGCAGCTCTCCTGTGAAAGTTGAGGGTATTCACTGTGTCACAGGATTGGGTCCTTAATTAGCTAGAATATTTGCCCTTTCAATAAAAGTCATTGGCTATATTGAGCTAACCTTGCTGCTTTTACCTGATTTGCAACCACTACAAAAATCATTTTAGTCACCCACTTAGATATAGCAGAGGCCGGCAACCTTTCAGAAGTGGTGTGCCAAGTCTTAATTTATTCACTCTAATTTAAGGTTTTGCGTGCCAGTAATACATTTTAACATTTTTAGAAGGTCTCTTGCTATAAGTCTATAATATATAACTAAACTATTGTTGTATGTAAAGTAAATAAGGTTTGTAAAATGTTTAAGAAGCTTCATTTAAAATTAAATGAAAATGCAGAGTCCTCCGGACCGGTGGCCAGGACCCGGGCAGTGTGAGTGCCACTGAAAATCAGCTCGCATGCCACCTTCGGCACGCGTGCCATAGGTTGCCTACCCCTGGACTATAGCATTGCACTAACTTCGCTAATTCTGTTAAAGTAAAGTGCTGCACTTTTGTAAATTGAATATCTTATCTAAGAATTATTAGATAAACTGCTTTAAATTACCCTATTTTGTAACAGCTGCAAATATGATAACTAATATTAAACTTTACAGGTGATGACACCAAGGGATTAAAAGGTCCTACATCTCTCTCCAAATCTTTTCTGTCTAGTTCCTCACCCTTTAAAAAAGGTTTGTTTAAGACACCCCCACCTTCTGCAGAATTTAAAATGTTCTGCTGCCAGTTAGTTTTAAAGAGCACTAACTCACACAGATTGGTTGGTGTGGCCTCTGGCTGGTGCTTGTTGATGGGGGTTCCTAAGTACTGTAAGAAATATTAAACATCAGGGGTTGAAAAAATCCACTTGCCAGTGGCCAGTAGTAAGCTTTCCCTGGCAAGTGATGGTGCCTATCTTAATTACTGCAGTATTTAAGCTTTCATTTTTAAAAGTTTCTAGTCCATGTAGCTAAGAAGATAATCCTTCAAATGCAAATCAACGTAGTGAGCATGTAGACAAACACTTCCAGTACTGCCTCTCCTGCTCTGATTTTCCCAAAGCATCAGCAGAGTGAAACTGACAAAAGGGGTATTAGCCTCACTTTGGATATGCTGTATTCCCTGGGCAGCAGTGAAACTTACAGGATGCATATCAATTTTACTCTGCTGTTGGGGAGCTCTGAGCAGCAGAGGCAATAACTGGAGCTATTTATGGGACAAGAGGGCCCAAAAATAGCAGAGACTATGTCACAGGATGCTGGGGCAGGATTATAATAGAAATAGCCCTTCTTCTTTTCAGCATGGTAATGAGAACCAGGGAACTGATTCAATTTACCAGACACCTACTGGACAGAGACTGATACAAAAGATGAAGTCTCAAGCAGGGACAGAATCTCAACACCTTTTCCCTTATGTTCATATGCAAATGAATCTGTAAACTCCGGGGTTATACCGTATGACTGGAGAACTGCTAACATAGTTCCTTTTTTTAAGAAAGGGAAAAAAACTGACCCGGGTAACTACAGACCTGTTAATTTGACATCTGTAGTATGCAAGGTCTTGGAAAAAAATTTGAAGGAGAAAGTAGTTAAGGACATTGAGGTCAATGGTAATTGGGACAAAATACAACATGGTTTTACAAAAAGTAGATCGTGCCAAACCAACCTAATCTCCTTCTTTGAGAAGGTAACAGATTTTTTAGACGAAACACAGTGGATCTCATTTACCTCGATTTCAGTAAGGCATTTGATACAATTCCACACAGGGAATTATTAGTTAAATTGGAAAAGATGGGGATCAATATAAAAATTGAAAGGTGGATAAGGAACTGGTTAAAGGGGAGATTACAACGGGTCATAATGAAAGGTGAACTGTCAGGCTGGAGGGAGGTTACTAGTGGAGTTCCTCAGGGATCGGTTTTGGGACAAATCTTATTTAATCTTTTTATTACTGACCTTGGCACAAAAAGTGGGAGTGTGCTAATAAAGTTTGCGGATGATACAAAGCTGGGACATATTGCCAATACAGAGAAGGACTGGGATATCATACAGGAAGATCTGGATGACCTTGTAAACTGGAGTAATAATAATAGGATGAAATTTAATAGTGCAAAGTGAAAGGTCATGCACTTAGGGATTAATAACAAGAATTTTTGTTATAAGCTGGGGACTCATCAGTTGGAAGTAACAGAGGAGGAGAAGGACCTCGGAGTATTGGTTGATCACAGGATGACTATGAGCCGCCAATGTGATATGGCCATGAAAAAAGCTAATGCGGTCTTGGGATGCATCAGGCGAGGTATTTCCAGTAGAGATAAGGTGGTGTTAGTACCGTTATACAAGGCACTGGTGAGACTTCATTTGGAATACTGTGTGCAGTTCTGGTCTCCCATGTTTAAGAAGGATGAATTCAAACTGGAACAGGTACAGAGAAGGGCTACTAGGATGATCTGAGGACTGGAAAACCTGTTTTATGAAAGGAGACTCAAAGAGCTTGGCTTGTTTAGCCTAATCAAAAGAAGGCTGAGGAGAGATATGATTGCTCTCTATAAATATATCAAAGGGATAAATACCAAGGAGGGAGAGGAATTATTTAAGCTCAGTACCAATGTGGACACAAGAACAAATGGATATAAACTGGCCATCAGGAAGTTTAGACTTGAAATTAGACGAAGGTTTCTAACCATCAGAGGAGTGAAGTTCTGGAACAGCTTTCCAAGGGGAGCAGTGGGGGCAAAAGACATATCTGGCTTCAAGACTAAGCTTGATAAGTTTATGGAGGGGATGGTATAATGGGATAGCCTTATTTTGGCAATTAATTGATCTTTGATTATTAGCAGGTAAATATGCCCAATGGCCTGTGATGGGATGTTGGATGGGGTGGGATCTGAGTTACTACAGAGAATTCTTTCCTGGGTGTCTGGCTGGTGAGTCTTGCCCACATGCTCAGGGTTTAGCTGATTGCCATATTTGGGGTCGGGAAGGAATTTTCCTCCAGGGCAGACTGGCAGAGGCCCTGGGGTTTTTTCGCCTTCCTCTGCAGTGTGGGGCACGGGTCACTTGCTGGAGGATTCTCTGCACCTTGAAGTCTTCAAACCATGATTTGAGGACTTCAATGGCTCAGACATAGGTTAGGGGTTTGTTGCGGGAGTGGGTGGGTGAGATTCTGTGGCCTGTGTTGTGCAGAAGGTCAGACTAGACAATCATAATGGTACCTTCTAACCTTAAAGTCTATGACTCTATGAAGAAGGGATAGATTAACACTAGGGGTTTGCTATTAGGCCTTGCTAGCATTTCCCCAACTCCAAGTCATCCTTCTCATCAGCCTCTGGCCATCAGCTATCTGGTAAATTTTTCAAGCTCTACTAAACATTCTTTAAAACAGAATATTTTTAAAAAATATTCTTACTTTTACTCGGCTTAACAGCACTGTAAGCAGCCTTATAGACTCCACTCTTCTCTGAGCTAGTAGATATTTCCTCTCTTCCCATTCAGGCATATTCTCTGGCCACTGCTCTTCTTCAGCTGTTACCTTCTGCTGCTTTCTTGGGCGTTTCTCATCCCGATCTATCTGCCTGTGTTCTCTCCTCTTGAGCTTAGCCTTCCTTTTTCTTTCTCGAGCAATTTTTTCATCATCACGTCTTTTTCTAGGTAATTATTAATATGGGACAATTTAGATGACACTCATTTTACATGTTAACCCCTGGAGGGTGAAAAGTAGGATTTTAGTGTGCTAACAGCAAGTGACTCGATGCTAGGAATCGATTTGCTGTTACAATCAAGACATCCTTGTGCCTAGGTAGGTTTTAAAGTCAATGGCATACAACCAACATACATCCAATAGATGCAAAGATTTAGGACAGTTTGAGTTTCTCTTGTACTCTTAAGACTCTTCTAATAATAATCTCTCTCTCGCTAAAGAATATACAGGTTGTTCATATTATAGTCTCTTCCAGGTCACCGCTAGAGAATGATTTGCCCCCTTCTCCTTCATTTTCAGTTAACAACAATAACTAAGGTTCACAAACTCTCCTAGAAGTCAATGTATAACCATTAAATATTTTAAAGAAAAATTCAAATAATACGGGTATTAAGTTTGGTGACTGATTTAGAGATATTGCATCAGAGTTGCTAGATTTAGCATTTCGACTCTCGTTCCTACATCAATGGATATATTCATAGAATAATGTCCACTGGCAGATAGGGTGGATCCTAAACACTCCCTATAGAAGTAGGAACTTAATACAGTGTGATAGTTGTTCCGATACATCTGACAACACTGCCTTCAAGATGATAGCAATGATGGGGGATCGCTTACGCACTGGGACTCTCCAGTCAACACTGAGGCACGTGGAATCTTGTCACGTGTTCTATACTGTATATTAATTTTACTTCAGGACACAGCTAGGCTGCATATTATTACTTTGTGGTGTTACAGCAATTATGAAATAATACTACAAACAAGATCTCAAGCCACCCAGGCTTCCTAGGTTTCCTCAGGTCCCTTCCAGCCCTACATATCTAGGATTCTATGATTAAGCACATATCCAAACTGACCATAGGCTACCCTCTCTGTTAAAACATGCTGTTTTGCTGCCCTTTCCAACTACAGCACACATTATCAGTGATCTGGTGAAAACCACTTTGAGTGATACAACTGATCTAAGATTTACCTTTAATCTTTGAGCAGTCAATACATTTCTGTAACCCTATGTTCAGCCACTGGAAACATGGCCAGAAGGATGGTTTGTCACCTTCCTGGGCTGATCTTGTCTCAGCTATTTACTGATCTACAGTTCCAGTGCAGAAAAGACTCCTTAGGCCTTCACGCAGTTTAAAACAAACTTTTAAATGGAGTTTGATAGATTACTAGAGTGACTGAAAGAAAAACAAATCCTGGATCTGTAAGAGGAGAGATACAGGGGAGGAAGCAACGAGGGCACATAGTGTTTTTAATTGAGAGGGTCCGGCAGATGTCTAGACAGCTCCAGACCACTTCTCCAATCACAATCCCCTTTTTCTATACACTGCGTAGGTCTACTACTCCTCTCTTAATCTCGTTCCCTTTATGTGACATCTACATAATTGAAGATACTGTGCTTTTTTTTTTTTTTTTTTTTGGTTACACCATATGAATTAGACAATATTCAGCTTTCAGTTTAACATTACCTAATCCTTAACATTATCTAGGTTTGGGGGTATTGTATTGGGTGCTCCTCTCTTGAGATTTTGTTGGGAGCAAGACACAAGAGTAAATTTAAAAGAAGTAGAACACTCATTCAAAACAAGTTTCTCACCTTGCAGCCTCCTCTTCCTCTCGCTTTTTTTCCCTTTTTCTTTCTTGCTCTAGCTCTTGCAGCTTTTGTCTTTCCAGCCTTCTCTTTTTGATAGCTCCTTTGCTGAAATGTTTGGTTGTATCAAAAGTCACCTGTTCCAGAAGAGACCGAATCAGAAGGCAGGATTGTTCATGAATTATAAAGAGACTAGGGCTGTCAAGTCATTAAAAATTAATTATTAATCGTGAAATTAAAAATATTAATTGTGATTAATCGTGTGATTAATTGCACTGTTAAACAATAATAGAATACCATTTATTTAAATATTTTTGGTTTTCTGCCTTTTCAAATATATTGATTTCAATTACAACACAGAATACAAAGCGTACAGTGCTCACTTTATATTTGATTACAAGTACTTGCACTGTAAAAAAACAAAAGAAATAGTATTTTTCAATTCACCTAATATAAGTACTGCAGTGCAATCTCTTTATCATGAACTTAAACTTACAAATGTGGAATTATGTACAAAAAAAACTGCATTCAAAAATAAAACAATGTAAAATTTTAGACTCTGCAAGTCCACTCAGTCCTACTTTTTGTTCAGTCAATCGCTCAGACAAACAAGTTTGTTTACATGTGCAGGAGATAATGCTGCCCACTTCTTGTTTATGTTGTCATCTGAAAGTGAGATCAGGCGTTCTCATGGCACTGTTGTAGCCGGCGTCACAAGATATTTATATGCCAGATGCACTAAAGAGTCATATGTCTCTTCATGCTTCAACCACCATTCCAGGGGACATGCGTCCATGCTGATGATGTGTTCTGCTCAGTGGTGCAAGTAAAATCCATGTCTTACCGGTATGGGGGGGAGGAGGGGAAGACGCACCAGCTAAGGGGGGCACGTGACCTCCCCATGTGACCCTCCATGTGACTCCTCCCTGCCCGGGGCCCTCACGCTCTCCTTGTCCCCTCCCCACATCCATCCCATGTTACCTGGAGTGTGGGGGGGGCTCTGTCCTCCTCCTGCTGCGCCGGAGACAAGGCTGGGGGGGAGCGAAGGTGGGGGCCAGCAGTAGAGCCACCAGAGGAGCTGCCGGCATTCTGCTCCTTTCCCCGCTGCTGCCCCTCCCAGCAAAACAGGTAAAACAGAGCAGGGGATATACAATTCTCCCCCAAGGAGTTCAGTCACAAATTTAATTAACGCATTATTTTATTAACGAGCGTCATCAGCATGGAAGCACGTCCTCTGGAATGGTGGCCGAAGCATGAAGTGGCATACGAATGTTTAGCATATCTGGCATGTAAATACCTTGCAATGCCAGCTACTAAAGTGCAATGCAAATGCCTATTCTCATTTTCTGGTGACGTAAATAAGAAGAGTGCAGCATTATCTCGTGTAAATGTAAACAAACTTGCTTGTCTAAGCGATTGTCCGAACAAGAAGTAGGACTGAGTGGACTTGTAGGCTCTAAAGTTTTACATTGTTTTGTTTTTGAGTGCAGTTATGTAACAAAAAAACATGTAAATTTGTAAATTGCACTTTTACGACAAAGAGATTGCACTACAGTACTTGTATGAGGTGAACTGAAAAATACTATTTCTTTTGTTTATCATTTTTACAGTGCAAATATTTGGAATCAAAAATAATATACACTGATTTCAATTACAACACAGAATACAATATATATGAAAATATAGAAAAACATCCAAAATATTTAATAAATGTCAACTGGTATTCTATTGTTTAACAGTGCAATTAAAACTGCAATTAATCATGATTAATTTTTTTGAGTTAATCACGTGAGTTAACTGCGATTAATCAACAGCCCTAAAAAAGACCACAAACTTGTCAATCTACTGGGTCACCTTATTTACACAAATAAAACACAAACAGCCTATACAACTTAGAAAGTCTCTAATCTATTTCTGCACAATTATATTTGAAACATGAGTGTTTCTTTCTGCTGCTTTTTAGTTGAGCAGACTGGAATATGACCTGCAGAATTCACACTAATAGCTATCTCCTGTTCTTAAATGTTACTATAAGCATTACTCCAAATGTCACCTTACCCTGGGCCATTAGAGGCTCATAAACCGTGGCAATACGCCTTTGACAGCCTGTAGATGTTCAGTTTGGGGCATTTTCAGTGGAGAGTTCCTAGCTGTAGAATTCCCTCTCTCTGACAGATTGCCAGAGTTTACTTATTTTCAGTGCACTGTATGAGCCACAATTTCTTGGTCAAGCATTTGCTGGTTGTGGATTACAGTTGGCTGGTTGGTACAGCAGGGGAGGCTGTCTGTTGAGAACTGTTTAACTCAATGTAGGCACATTAAAACATCCATGCAAACAGCACTTTATCCAAGCTGGGAAACCAAGTCATTTGTAGCATGATTTCTAAACCATTGTGTAATGACTGCTACATATTCAAGAATCATAGATAATTTACATGCTTTGTGCTGAGCAAAATACTTGGAACCAGGCTTATCTCAATGACTAAATCCGACTTTTAGATGAACGCTGCTAAGCAGCTATGAACTTTTGTATGCATGCAGATCTCCAATTTCCTTTCACAGCATAACACAGGGTATGCCCCAAACAAATCCCTCCTCCAAAACTGTTCACTATATCCACCTTAATCAAAGCAAAGTGCCACGAGAAGCAAGGATACATCCTGCTAGTACAGGTTCAAAGTGACTATGAACATTTTTTGTAAAAAAGGCAGAAAGGAAGGCTATTGCTGACACTGCTTGGGGTTTACCAATGCAGAAAACTATGTCTTCAGAACAGCTCTTCCAGGCCTTGACTGCATCCCTCTCAGCTCCAGTGTTCAGCCAATTGATTCATAAACTTAATAACTTTTCACTTTTATTTTACCAGTGGAGAAAAATGTTTCAGGAAATCAACAAGCAAATTCTTTTTCCAGGTCAGTCAGACTGAAGGATTAAAATCTTCACTAAAATCTGGATTGAGAGGTCAACAATAGTCACCCAAGCAGCAAATCCATACAAACCAAAATCTTGATGCAAACAAACCAGAGTGAATGCTGCTTCTGAAGAGACAGCCTTGTGGCTGGCTCATCTGTGAGCCTTAACTCAGTGAGAACGGCCCACCAAAAAAGCCACAGCTTTATTTGCTAGGTGGGGAACTATGAGGATGAATAGCTGCGAGAGCCATCCATCTATTCCCTCTCCCAAACAGCCGTGCTCCAGGTCTAAATTCCCACCTCAAGTATCCATCACTTAAATGTTTACACTGGCGAGCAAAAAGTTCCCAATTTGTCTTTTTTTTTTTTAATTAAGATTTCAAATAGCAGTAATGATCTTCATGGCAGTCTCAGCAGATAAGTCTTGGTTGGGCCAGGGAATTTTATACTTTTCTGCTGTACCATTTCTGTTATTTGACTACTATAGAAGTCTTTATGGTAGTGTATTTGGGCAAATATAGCATTGGCAGTATCAAAAGATACAGCCAGTGATGCTTACCTTCATGTTACATGCCAGAGCTTTTCCATCATCCCCTTTAAACATCAGCTTCATTCCCCTAAGTGACTCCATAGCTTTCACAAAAGCCGTGTACTCTTGGTACTGGACAAAAGCTTCAAATGTCTGTAGACCTCCAAAAAGGAAGTTATTTAAATTTCCTCCCACCATTTCTTCTCTATAAGGATCAAGCATAGGGATATCTATGTTCTTGATCTTTCCAAAGCTTTCGAACACCACTCTTAAAACATCTTCACTCGGCTTTTCATTATTTGAGCCCTTTAGTGCAAACCATTTACATGGCAAACCTTCAAAATAGATGCAATCAGGAATATCAGCGGTTTGCTCAGTAAGATCTTCATTCGTAATCTCTCTTTTATTCAGGTAAGATGCCCACTCTTGTGGAGTTGGAAAGTCAGCTTGTGCCTCGGTGGCCATCACCTTCAAGTCATCTTTAAAACCATTCAGTTTTATTACCTTTCCATGCAGTTTTTCCTTAAGTGTGAGGATCAACCTTTTAGTTTCTGCCTCTCCCTCAAATCGAATGAAATCCTTAGTGCTCTTTGAAACCCTAACAGTAGTAAATTGGTCTGGACAAATCATGTTCTTCAGCTTGTCCATCACTTCCCACTTAGAGAAAGATCGGGTAGATTCTGTGTGTTCTGGAAACACCACATTGATAGTCAGTTTTGCTACTGGTTTAAGATACAGATGCTGAGAAGCACAGAGCTCCATAGCTTCAGAGTTATCATACACTACAGTGATTGTCATTGTGTCCAATACCCTTTAGAAAAATAATTAAAACCATGTTAAGCTAAAAGACATGGAGTAAAAAGGGTAAAAATATCCTCTAGTGCAAAATTTAAGTGACTATCTTGAGATATAATTTCATTTAACATTCAGACGAAATTATTAAGAAAAATTATACTGTACATTTATACTAGTCTATAATTTAAATTATAATGCAAATAAATTGTGTTTGAATAAATATACCTAGTAAGATGTATCATCAAAAGATGCTAACTCCAGATTTTCTATCATCAAACTAATATAAAAACAAGAGTCAACATTCTACAGCAACATGCCTGTCATAGCCTCAAGAGAGATCAGTAAGTCAAGACAAAACCCCGGGAATACATTCTCCCACATCTGTGTACCAACGGCACAGGAAGGATTAAAAACAGTAACCAAACAAAACTTGTACTAGGTTAGATAAATTACTAAATAATAATTTGCTCTATATATTATGGCCATGTATAAATTAATCAATCTAAGAGCAATCTGACACAATTGCTGGATAGCCTGTTCTTAAATGGCCTTGTTTCCAATGGACAAGTTTTACCAGATTTGACTGAAATATGTTAGCAAGCACCTCAGCTAGGATTTTGCAATCTTTATTAGGGAAGTCCGGTGATTGTTCATCCATCATTCAGCATCCTTTTCAAACATCGGAATCAGTGAGATAAGATGAGTTCTTACACTCTGTGCTAATAAATTATCCTTCACTGCTGATTCATAAATGTATAATAACTGGTTGTTAACTGTTCTTGTAACCTTTGTGGAATTCCACTGAGATGCCATCAAGGCCGGGGTTCTGACATGTTTGTACGGACTAGTTTGTCTTCAGTTCTTTCCTTATCTAACTGGATCTTCTTCTCAAAAAGGGGAAAAAAATAGGTTAATTTACTGCTGGTTAAACCAACCGCTAAATCAGCCTAAAACTTTTTTTTAATCTATAATTTATCTTAAAAATAAAACTGGAAATGCTAATTATCTCTTTACAACTATATAAACATCCTGAAGCAAGAAGTGAAGAAAAGATATTGTTTGCCTAATGACTTATATCACAATGCTTGTACTAACACACAAACCTTATATTGGCTAAGAAATAATACCAGTGAAATGTGTGACTGGTTAAGGACTGAGAAGAAATGTCTAAAACCTGTACCATTAGAGGTAGCTCTCAGCTCAATACACTGTAATACAATCTATTCACACAGGGAAAATCGATCTCATATTGTCTAAATGCTTGCAATTTAGCTTGTATGAATATATAAAATCATCCATGTGGATGAATCCAGAAATCAATATTAACAGCACAAAATATGTTATCCTAATTGAATTCATGAGAGTATTCCGGAGACCGGACATTTATATACAGATGGATTTTTATAGAATATTCCTAAATTAGGAAATGTAATATTGATAGAACCTATCTATGACAAGAAAGAAATGCTGTTAGTCAAGCTCTAGATCTTAACCCAACCAAATTTACCAGATAAAGCACACAATCTTAGCCAGTTGGGAAGATTAGGCTTGAAGCAATGCAAAAGTACCCTTTAACAACAAAACACTGCCTGGAGTGAAGAGATTGGTGTAGAAATCATTAATACAGTGGGCTCAAGACTGGGGCCACTGTTGATAACCTCATTCTGAGATCCAAGGTTAATTTTTTAATACAAACAGGAAAGGTTGGATTGGACTCTGAGGAACGATATCTTAAGACGTCCATAAATGTAGCAAATGTGAAGAAATCATGCATCAATACCAAGGGACGTACTGGCCGCCGCTTCCAGCAGCTCCCATTGGCCTGGAGCAGTGAACCGCAGCCAGTGGGAGCCACAATCAGCCGGACCTGCGGATGGCAGGTAAACAAACCGGCCCGGCCCGCAAGGGGGCTTTTCCTACACAAGCGGCGTCCCAAGTTTGGGAAACACTGCCTTACAACAAATGCCAGCACCTGATCCCTGGATATACAGGTCCATAGGTCTTGCTGCAATTGGAAAACATTTTTTTTTTCTCAGCTATTATCTTATCAGAGATACAGCTCAAACCAAGAGAAAGATATACACACAGAGGGGCTCAAGAGACTGTACAGTTTAAACAATATTCAAAACACTCGAAAGAGAGCAGAGCACTTCCATACAGCCATTATTCTTGGAATGCCTCTTTGCCTCCAGTCAGTGTGTGTGTATTTTGAAGATGATGTGGACTTCAGTGCAAGAAACGGCCTAGTGAATCAGAGTACCAACAAGAAACAGGTCTTGCGTGCTCTCTTAGAGAAGACGTTAGCATGAGGGCCTGATCTTGCAGGTAAAAAGATCAGTATTCTCATGGAGCAGCAGCTAGAACAGAGGCTGGCGCACTGCATTGCTGCTATTGAGGAACTGCACCAGATCAGAACTGACCAAAGCTTTGTCAGGCAAAGCTGACTGTATTGGAATTCATCTCTGAAATTAAAAATGTATATAGTTTTGGTACATTATACGAGTAAGGGTGAATCCCATTCTTGTTAGAAGAGCCAAGGTATTTATTGCGTAAACCACAACTACCGCAAAAAGCAAACACTGCTGATGCTGTTCACAGCTATATTGGTCCAATGTTCTTTGAGATAAACTACTATTTTCTGTCGTTTTGCTACATCTCACCTTGGCACAAAATGTAAATTTCCACAAGACTGAGGTGTGGAGTGCAGCTGGCCATCTAATCTAGAACAGTCCAGTGCATAACCATGAGCTGTTTTCCCACAAATTGCAACAATATGGTCAATAAAACCTTAGAAAAGTAAGGCCATGTCTACACTAGAATCTTCTGACAGCATTTCAATGTCAATTAGAGGTGTTCCATGACATTTCTATACCGGCATAAAAGTGCTTTTGCAAGTACACCTTATTTTGTTCACTGAATTGCTATGAGCCAGGGGTGGCCAACCTGTGGCTCCGGAGCTGCATGTGGCTCTTCAGAGGTTAATATGCGGCTCCTTACCTAGGCACTGATTCCGGGGGCTGTAGCTATAGATGCTAACTTTCCAATGTGGTGGGGGGGTGTTCACTGCTCAACCCCCTTCTCTGCCCCAAGCCCTGCCCCCATTCCACCCCTTCCCCCAAGCCTTGCATGCCCTCACTCCCTCCCCCGCCCCCAGCCTCCTGCGCAAGTGAAACAGCTAATTGCGGTGGGTGGGGGGAGTAGGCGCTGATTGGTGAGAGCTGCCAGCAGATGGGAGGCGCTGGGGGTGAGGGCTGCTGACATATTACTGTGGCTCTTTGGCAAAGTACATTGGTAAATTCTGGCTCCTTCTCAGCCTCAGGTTGGCCACCCCTGCTATAAGCCGTACTATCAAAAGAACTTTTTTGATGGTATAAACTGCATTTTCACTAGAAGGGTATACTGATATAACTATACAAGCAAAACTTTTAAGTTTAGAATAGGCCTAATTGGCCTATTTTACTGGAAGTTGAGTTCTCAGTACCTCTGTAAATCAGGTCTAATACTATTTCTTTTAGGTAGTATAGAAAAACTATATCGCTTTTGGATAATCATCCAAATATACCGATGGACAAACAAGCCTGGCTCTTCCATCAGGGTCCTAGCCTGCACCAATACCAACTATAAAATACTGCTGCAGGAAGATAGTGTGGGCCAGAGGCTAGAGCACTACACTGAACCTCAGTTGACCTGGGTTCTACTCCTAGTTTTGCTGCAGGGTAAGTTGCTTCATCCATGGGGGAGGGGGGGAATAATGATACTTACTCACCTTTGTAAGGTACTTTGATGAAAAGTGCTAAGCAAGACCTAAGTGGTGTTATGTTGCCCTTTCTGACACTACACAAAATAAAGTTTTTATATATCTGGCTCCCACCTCTGAGTGGTCTAACCACTGAGCTATGAGATATTCTGATGCTTATTTGACTTAAACAGTCATTCGGACAGAGTGAAAATGAACTTGCAGTTTGGTGGTTAGGGCATCCATCTCGGAGGTGGGAGACGCAAGATCCATTTCCCCTGGCCTAGCCATGATTTCATTATTTAACCACAGTGGAATAGCTTCAACAGGAGAACGCCCACATCAGAATATCCCATAGACCAGTGGATCAAGCATTCTTCTGAGAGGTGGGAGACGCTGTTCAAGTTCTTTCTCCCTCTCCGGTAGAGAGGAGGGAATTGAACCTCAGTCTCCCACATCCCCAGTGAGTGCTCTAACCACTAGGCTCAAAGTAATAAGGTGGGTAGCAGCAGCACCACCTCCACTGAAGAGGATCTGGTTCAGTAGGAGGCCTCCGAGTACACCAACTGGATCAGGCCCTGCATGTGATTTAAGCATTTGGTCACCTATCTTCCCCTGGTTTGTGAATCACTGTGGGGTTTAGGCAGAAGACAGGAGTCTGGCTGCCTAGAGGGAGGCAGCAGAGTGGATCCCCAGAAGCAGAAACTTGGTGCCTAGGGAACTTTGTCCTTGACAATTTCAGCGCTGAGTGAGTTTAGGCGCCTACAGGGTTTGGCAGGAATTTTGTGGGTCACGCTGGAGCCAAAACAGGGATTTAGGTGCCTATACCTGATACTTAAACACCTAAGTATCTTCGTGGATCTTAAAGGACAAGAGGAAGAAGGCAGCCCTTGAGAGGGGGAGAAGCTGCCTCACCCACAGGCTGCCCTTGCAATAAGGAGAGGAAGGATGCACAGCCTAGAAATAGAAGTTCTTACATATTTCACTGTAGCAGCACAAATTGTACCTAGTGAGCTTAATTCTTGCTTTGTACAGGGCTAGATGTGTTACATGTGCTGTCTCCTTGGTTTTAGTTTGATTTATCTCTGAATTCTTAATGAGACTGTTTGAATTTCAGATTGTTGTGAAGCAAGGTCATTGTGGTGTGTCCATTCAGGAAAGAGCCTTCTGACCTCTTTTGAGAGATGATTGGGGAGAAATCAATACCTAGTCTGGAGCACGCCATTGAGAAAGCTGCTAAAAAGTGCAATCCTGAAGAGGAATGGGG